GCTGAATTATTTTCTGGTGATATCTATCACACTTAGATGTAGTTATCACTATGAAAAGTGATTCCTTTGTTAACAAGTGCCAACAAGTAGAAAACCCAGGTGAGATATAATGGCTTCATGCCTACTGGATCCAACCAACTAACACTTTTTCAATTTCTTTGTACAAATTCATCAAAATGTTCCTTCAGGCTGACTGAACTATGAAAGTTGTAGTCAGTAACACCGGAGTCAAGTTAAAATATCATATTTTCTGTCAATAAATGGGTTTTGGGGTCTGTGGGGAGTGAGATATTTATCAAGTTGGTATTCATCATAGACTGACTGACATCATTTGGAGGACAACTGTTTTGACGTAGTGTACTGGGCATCCATGACCCCACACCTTCAGGGATCGAACCCACGATCTTCGAGTTTCGTGACCCACATGTTACCATCCAGCTATTGGGTCGGAATCCACTGGTCCATATTTCCAACTTCTGTTAGTTGACAAAATAGAGTGACTGTATCCAATGTCATCGTTGAGTATTTGTCCTCACGGCCATCAGGTTTTCCCTACTGATCACGATTTCTCATTGAAACTTCAGGATTCACCTGTCGAAGGGGTAGTCAGCAATGATCAGTAGATCAATGGTAACATACTTACCACAGAACCTGGAAGTCCAGGGTTTGATTCCTGATAGGGTCATGGGTGCGCACTGCTAAACGGTCCTATACCAGTGCTCCCAGGTTTTCAATGTTCCTCCAATGGGTGTCACTCCATGATGAATACTAACTTGAAGAAAATGTTTGCTTATTTTTGATTATTCTAAATCAGAGTTTTTTTAGATGTTAGCTAAAAAGGAAAACAATTTCCCTTCATAATTACGCTTTATTTGTGACAAATCTTCTAGAAAAAAGCTTATCGTTTACCTCTTCATTGTTCATTTGTTTTTCTGTGCATATCTATGTATGTATGTTGCACTGTTTTTACAATGAGGAAAATAGAAGAGAGAGACAAAGGGGAAAAGATGATTTTCAGCTTGTTTATTTGCTTAAATCACTAACTTGATAACTTTAACATTCACGGTTGAACCGGTAAAGAAGAAATCTCCTATTTGATTGCATTATTTCACTTGAATAGAGTCATACTGTACAGTACAGGAGACTATGAGAATATATCCTATGCCAAACGGGGTAAGCCATACCACACAAATGCAAACTGACACACACACACACACATGGACTTTGGGAATCTTTCCACTAACCGTCTATCTTCAAGCTCAGAAAATAAATTAGATAGATTTAAAACACTTTACTTTTCGATTTCTTATACCACATATAAGAGATAGGAGTATATTACTTTTGCTTGGATAAAAGAGGGTATTTTCAGATAATGAAAACAACAATAACAACACAAAAACGCCTTATGGCACTACAACACCTAATACTACTACTACTACTACTGCTTGATTAAGTTTTCTCATTCTATACTGTTGAGCAATTCCAATGTTGGATATTAGTGATCAGTGAGACATTCACCAACAGCTGCCGCTTACGCTCACTCTATACTGAAGATCAGATCAGGTGGCCAGAAAGAATAAGCAAGGAGTAATTCTGGCTGGCTGGCTGGCTAGCTGGCTGGCTGGCTGGCTGACAACAAACCAACCAAGAACCCACCGCGCAACAAATATGCACTGGGAGAAAGTGGAGGTGGATTGGGCATGCATTGAGAAGGCGGTTTGGGGAAATCACGCGCCAGGCCAATCCGTCGAATGGAATCCAAAGGGGAAACGATGAGTTGGGCGTCCCAGCTGAGGGTGACATGGATGACATGATGTGAGGAAGAAATGAAAGCTTGTAGGCAGTCGTGTTGACGGTTTCAAAAGACTGTAGAGAACAGAGTGAAGGGGAGACGTGCTACTGAAGCCCCATTGTTCCCCTAGGAACCCATAGGAATAATAATAATAATAATAGACATTCATTTCAATGATCACTGATAATTGGCTGTCATCCTCTACGTCAACGTGATATAATTCACTAATCTTAAATACTTAGTTACCTTTTCGTTTCGTTTCTCCTGTATCGTATATAGATTAGTGAATAGTTTTTTGTAGTCGCATTTTTCATTTGTTTATTAGTTTTCCTTTTGATTAAACTTTGTGCAAAGATTATTCAATTTACAATGTGATAAAATGTTTAGATGACATCTCTTATGTAATAGTTTAAACGTCATGCTGTTCAAAAGTGTATATGTTTATATATGTATGTCTCCAGCATATACAGACTATGTCTGCATTCCCAAGTTACCCTCCCCCCCCCCCTGCACTCCGCACACACACACCAATTTTCTTCTTGATTATCGACATGAACAGCTGCTGTTATCGTGTATTACTGTTTAAGTCTAACTGAAAAACACCGAAAAAAGGTCATATTTGTTGTTATTGTTGTTCATGGTGGAAATGTAGTGCCGATTGCCATTGAAAATCGAAATTCACGATATGTCATAGTAACAGACAGGAGGGTTTCACTTGAAGAATACTAAAATATCTTGAAAGTTTTCTAATCAGTTATATATATATATATATATCATTCTTCGTAGGTATCGATGATTCCTTGATCCAAGACCAAGTAAACGTATACATATCTACGATGAATTAGATTAAGTGACTCGTCAAAATTTAATCGTTTCAAGCTATTGAAGTCAATCAGTTCCCATCTCTCAAAGCAATCCCTCTTTTTCAAGAACAGTTCAGTATCCTCTAATAGCTTGCACACATATGAATTCCTGAAACTCTGATTAATGCCTCAGATAAATTTGGTTTGATGACAAATACTAACCAATGGCATTCACTGATTGTCAATTATATCACAAATTAACGGAGGTAGAAATACATAGAATAATGAGTAATGATCCAGTCACTGAATGATTACATGATTGACATGTGAACTGATAGCTGTCGTCTCAAACTGTTATGGAATTATGGGTTAGTACTTAGATGAGACAGATATCTAATACCTCCTGGTTCTTATTGAAGCTTTACATGGTTTCAAATTCGTGAAGAAAACTCTGGCTGGCAATGAATCAACCATCGAAACAGGAAGCTATCGCCCAACAAATATGTAGATGAAGTAACTGCGTATGCATTGAATTAAGCATACACAGAGAAGATGGTTTGAGGACATCACAAGCCTGACCAGCCTATCGAGTGGAAACCAAATGAGAAAGGATGAGAATGATATGGAGGAGATGGTGTGAGAAAGAAATGAAAGCAGTTTGTGGGCAGTCTTGGAGTGAAATGGAAACGTGTAATTGGTTCTTAATGGAGCTCTACATGGTTTCAAATTCATGAAGAAAACTATTTTGTGATCAATCAATTCTCTTCAAATAAAAAAAAATAAACAAACTTCAGTATGAATAATAAAAAAAATTAAATTTAATGGGTTTGACCTGATATCGTTTTTATTGTCTGTAAAGATTTTTTGCCTAATTAAGGAAATGTAAAATGATGTCAGAAATAATCAAATGTGTAGCTTTTAAACTATTCATACTTTCCGCCTCTTCTCCTCAAGGTCACTGAGAGTTTTAACACACTTGAAAATTGAAATGAGAGAACCAAAAGCAGATAGTGATGATTATGATCATTTAATTATACTATGGGCAAGAATTTTTTAATTAATTTAAAAAAACTTTGTTGACGTTCCCTATATGAAAAAATAAAGTTTATTCATACATTTTCACATTCTATTGAACAGTGTTAAATACACATATTGATAATTGAATGATTGAACAAGGCAAAAGATAAACAAACTTTCTACTTTATGAACAGAGAGATAGATAAATAGATATTGAGAAGAAATTGAGTGTTGCATTTCATGGATTATCATCAGTTGTAAACAGCCTTAAGGGTTAGAGAATCTACACAGTAAACTATATACCATATCAATTGTGTCAGTTTGTGACTTTCAAAGGTATTTACATCAACTTTTACGTTAGAAATGATGTAAAAGTCTTGAAGTTCTCAATCGATCTTTTTCATTAAGGATTGTGAAAGAAATCACCGATATTCCAGACATGAATTGATTATTGAATGGTGCTTGATGCACTATTCAAGTCTTATCAATTCAATGCTGATAGAATTCGATCAATTGAGGTTATGGTCAGTATTCAACACAACAATTAACAGGCACCATCTACGGACTATTTATCGTCAACATTATCTGAGATGATAAATGCAGTTACTCTTCATCTTATACGAATAAACCAATGAGAATATTACAGTGAGTAACTAATGTAGCTGTATAGTTATTATACTTCAGTATTGACCATATCAACGGATAACGTTTACAGGTGGTCACCTACAATTTAATCGTGCAGAGTTACATGCGATATGGAAAGCTTACTGGCAAAGTCTCCAACTTCAGTGTTGAGTGAAGCATATTTCTGCATGGTTGTTGGACCACCTTGTCGATAAGTCTCAATACGCATGAGACTAATGTAAATCAGGGTTTCATGCTGATCAGCTCCCAAAGTCCAATACACAAGGTATTATCTACAAAATAGCCTCAAATGACAAGAACAATATACACCTGTAGTTAAACAAAATGGCATGTAAAGTGGTGATATTCATTGAAAGAATCTATGTTTTGAAGAGTTCCAGGGTCCAGGCTACGTACAAATGTTAAGTTAGTTAGTTATTCATTGAATTTTACTGAGAAGTTTGATAAGAAAAGATCTACTGGAACATGATTTAAAACTCTTCAACTGAGGAATAATGAAATAGACAGAAATATTATCCATTTTAGTCACTATACACCCAATTTCCAATCAATAACATCATCACCTGGGAATAGGAGTTTATGAAGGATGAAAAGTATTTCATGAGAAAACCATTTGTAAACTGTTTCATGCCAACATGTTAAATAAAGTTTATATTTATGATTATTATGCCTAGAATAATAGACAAAAAAGCAAATAAACAAACAGACACCCTATCTATTCGTATCAATCAATTAACACTTACTGAATAGAGTAAAGATTCCAAATATCTTCATTAACTCTTTCATAATGATGCTGATAATTTCCTCCTTTTAAATTCCCATTAAAATATTCTCCATCAGTATGTCACTGTGTGTGTGTATGTGTGTGTGTGTCAACATATAGACTCAGAATTGAATGAGTAAATTGCCTTTCTTAACTATTTATAATCATGTTATGAAGTAATATTTTCAGTTTACAAGTTATCCGTTTTTTATCAGTAAGAGATAGTAAGAGATGCCAATTACTAATTGAAATACATACCCTCTCTTCTGATTGGTCGATGATAAGCATGACCTTGTCAAGAAGGATCAACCAATAAGGAATACACCTTACAGATAGACAATAATTTTCATATTATATCACAATGGGAAAATGTTATTGTAATGTTATTAATTGCAATCCTTACCCAAAATATATAGCACTAATAATAATGATAATAATAATAATAATAATGTGTAGAAGAAGTTGATTAATTCTCTAAAGATAACAACAATCTGTTATTATTTATGCTTTTTCTCTAATAACCCATCAAGTATTCTATGTAAAATTGGGTAGATTTCATTTTCAACAGTCGTCGGCGTCGTCGTCAGAGGAGGACGAGGAGGAGGAGGAGGAGGTGGACACTTTACACACACACACACACACACACATCCTTTCTTACCGGAAAACCATAGTTGAAATGTTAGTTTGTTTGTTGAAATTTTGCTATTGTTATTAATCATAGATAGTAAAATGACAGAAGAAGAAAAAGTGTGTGTGTGTGGGGGGGAGGGTTGGCTGTTTTCGATGACTATTTATTCTTGATTCTTGCCTCTCTTATTTAGGTGTGTTCGGTGGGGGTGGTATGTACAAGGGAGTAAAGAGACAACAGTCAACAGATTGTTGGTGAAGAAAAGTAGTTTGACCGATGAAAATTGTCTAAGAAAACTGTCAAATAGTACATAAGTGGTTGTGTTATAACCACTTCAGTTATGGTGACTGGTTGTCGTGGTGGTGGTGGTGATGGTATTTGTAGAAAATGAAGGGGAAAAAAAGTGGTAGAAAATGTCACACACAGACATGACGATGGACACGTTTTTTCACAGATCGATTCCTTGTTTTTCTGCTAAAACTGCATGTTTTGTTTTCTTAACTGTATAAGACTATTTTTTTAAATAAAGAATTCTTATTACGCTGACTGATAAAGCTGTTTGGCTTATTGTTAATTAGTGTCTTTTCTAAGGCAGCATTCATCATCGACTGACATCAACATAGAAGATCATTGGGAGCCTAGGAGTACTAGACAACTGTTGAGTACCAGTACAGGAATCCTCATGAATACGTATGCATGACCACGCTAAAGATCGAAGTCCCAACCTCTATCTCCAATGACAAACGCGTTAACCATTCATCCACTGGATTTCAGTTCAATCATCTACACTTTTCTATTTAGTAGTTATTGTAGTTAACCTGATATCTATTTGAGAAACGAAACATGAAGCACAGACTAAAAAGATGAGATTGATTACGAGTTGTCACAAAATACTCTGAGATAACTCAACACTGGTTACTTAGTGAAGATGTAGTCGATTGAAATGTATAGTCAACTGACAGCCAACAGGCGGTAATTATGAACATTGTTCTACCCAGGGGGAAGATTTGAGTATTCAGTTGTTTCCATAGACAGATTCCTGGTAATTAAACGAACTACATGACTAGTAGTAGGTCTCTGTTTCATCTTAGATTCTTTTCACAGAAACTTTTCTATATTTCATTCTTTGTTGAAGTGTTGGCGGCGTTTGTAGAAAATCATTAATTTGAAGTGTTTGAGGCGTTCATGTGAAACTGAGATATTCTCAAGTGTTTTGTATGCAAGTAGAAAACATGCTGAATCCACTCAGACAAAGTTTATGAAAGATGAGACCCACTGTGAACTTCAACTTCAGCTTCCATATGCATGTCTTATCATTCATTCACCAGTTAGTTCGTTGATACCACAACTAGTAACTTTGTCATTGAATTTATTTCACATAAGTTGAAATATCACTAAGCTGCATACACACTTAGCAGCTGAATATTTCACCCCCACCTCCACCCCTAAACACACGATAACATTGCACTCATAGACTGTGAATTTTTATTCTTCAAATCAACAATTTCTGATTGTTAGCACCACTATCTCAACACACCATTACACCACCATTAAATCCCGAACACAGAGATATCCTGAACACGCTGAACAACTGGAATCCACTAGTTGTATATACTGGTAGTTCATCAAACAACAGAAATCATCACGTGTACTTGTAATAGGTAGAAGTTGGTGATGACGATGTTGCTGTCTAGGAAGACCATCAAACGACTCATCTCAAAAGACAACAGAATACACATTTGATCGCCTGGCTGGACCATAAATGTTCTACCCCATTTCAAATTGTCAACTTTAATCCCATTTAATACACTAACGTGACTTTCTCTATAACTGGTAATATGTGTTATTCTTATCAATTTTCAGGTTATTCACCCCCATTGAACCATCACTGATACTGAGATATCTAGAATGAATAGCTAATTCATCCTCACTCTTCTTTACATTATTTCCTAATAGGATTGATACATTCAGCACTTTTATAACATTTTTGATGGAAATCAACATCTAATCCCATTTTCCCAATTACATGGAAGTTTATGATACTCGAATTTCGAATTGTGCTGCTGTATGCTAAGGATCACCTTAGTAAACGGAATGGAATGATCTCTTCACTTGACCAACAAGAATAGGTTATTCAGTGATTTACGCTTTTTCTATATACATGTGAATAGTGTATACTTGGTACACTCCCATACAGTGAGATTCTTTCTCCTAGTCACATATTAGACCTTGTTTTGTTTAGCATTCCTGATTTGGAGAACCACTTGATACCGTTGAAGACTAAGTTGTTATTCCTGTGCAGTTTGCGTACATTCAACCACGGAAGCCGACGATAAGAGAAGAAAAAAGTAGGCGCGACTATTTAGTTATGAAAGAGAACAAATAACTTACTTTCTACTTTATGTCGGTTTGTTAAACTTATCAAATGAGAAGGCGAAACTCAAGCTACTCATGAGTAGTACAAATTTTAAGACAAAGATTTCACACAGTGATCAGGGAAATTATTCAGTCATCACGTAGTAACTCTAATTCTCATACACAACAACTTAGCACCTCTCTTACTCTGTTCAGTAATTTGCCACCTACATCCCCTAAACCCTTTCGTGGGAAACCATCCGATTATTCTGTTTTGCATCACTTCAGGGTTGGAACAGATTTTTCAATGACAAGGAGAGTTGGAAGACTGACATCTACCTGCCATTAAGGATCAGCCTTAATCCTTAGCAAGTGAAGCATTGCTGTAGGTCATTTGAACTTCGTCTCCCAATGTTCCTCCTCAGGGTTATTCCCATCTGTCCTTACAGACTACCAGGGTACCATCCTTTTCAGGAATGGTCTCAATAACCATCGTCTTCTTGCTAGTAAACTCATCAGGTCGAGATAGCCATCTAGTGTTAACTAATGCACATGCTTTCCCCATCCCCTTCATTTTCGCCAACTAGTCAGTGTGAGGATTCCTAGTAACCTTACATTTCATCTCTTCCCATTCTTCATCACAGTAACAGTCAGATGAGATGAGTCCATTTACATCACTAACATTGGATGACATATGCTCAGCTCAAGAGGTAGGTTATCAACTACCTGTAACTCACTTTCTATAGCAAAATGAAATAAAGGTGAGGTGTCATTGAGGAGATGAAAATCTCAGTCACGCTTAGAGAAGTGATGAAATATCTCTTCTTCAAATAAGCATTCACATTCTCCTAGTCTAATTGAACACTGAAGTCTGCTACAGATAACCAGTAAGGTTCAGAAATATACACGATAATAATCATGTCTAAAGTACTAGTTGATGTCGCCAACAATAAAAGCTGAGTAGTAAACAGCAGATGGAATATTGTCTACATAATAGAAAAGCCGCTGCATGTTCCAGCTATCTGAGACGCTTTATTATTATCATATGTGTTTCAGACCAACAATTATTGCTTCGAGATACTCGGTCTACTTTTAATTAACTGGAGAGAACTCCACTCTAGAACTGTCTATCTTCCAGATGGAAGTTGACTTGGGATGCTTTATGACATCCCGAAACGTCAGTATGTGAAATAGGTAAAGTAAAACATGTGACCAATTACCTCGAATTATTATGATGAGTAATGAGGTGAGATAAGTTTATTGTATTCCACCATTTTATTAGGCTTTGTCCTAAGTCACAAACTTGAAATGCTTATGAAGAGAACGCAAAGTGAGGTGCTATAAGAAAGGCTGTTTCTTCCTCAAAAGAAGTGACGATTACCATTTCCTTAAGACAGAGCATAGAACAATCAACTCTTATTTATTCAACTGACTATCTGTGTTCGCATAGAATGCATGGTCACACAGACATGGCAGTGAGTCAACAGAAATTCCTCATAAGTTAATATACCAACAGAGCACTTCGTCAACTATTATTTATTGCAACTTTACTCGAAATGACCTCTATGTTGTCGTATATTATTAGTGAAGTAAATAACCCAATGGGTTCTACCCGATAACCACGGAGGAAAACTACACCAGTGTGTGGATTGTTGAAATGTGAGAAAAGTTGATTGCACTATTATAGCACAATGGCTTAACAGGAGACTTTCAAAAACAAGCTTACATTCAGACCTTTCATTTGGTGAAGGCTCACAAGTGCGTACTACCGTGGACTTCTGAAACAGTACCAATCATTTGCCTCCTACGTTCTTGTTCTGTTTGTCTATTATTATTATTGTTATTATTATTATTATTATTATTATTATTATTATTATTATTATTATTATTATATTACTATTAGTCCCTTGGGTTCCTAATGGAACATAGGGATTCAGTAGCACGTCTCCATTCCACTCTCTTCTCTGAAATCTTTTGAACCTGGCTCCATGACAGCCCAAAAGCTCTCAGTTCTTCCTCACACCATCTCCTCCATGTCACCCTCACCTCGAAAGCGCAACTCGACGCTTCCCATGGGGGTTCCACTCGAGCAACTGGCCTGGCGCGTGATGTCCCCAGTCGGCCTTCTCACTGTATGCCCAATCCAATCCATCTCCACTTCCTTCCAGTGCATATTTGTTGGGTGATACGTTCTTGGTGGGTTTGCTCCCAGAGCTCCTTGTTGCTTATTCCTTCTGGCCATCAGAGC